GAGTTTGAAGAGAAAATCTTGATATTTCATCTGTTTTTCCTCGTCTTTTCGGACGATATTCGTCTCGCCAGGAGCTGAAAATTCCACGACAATATCGTCTTGCTCTGGTGGTTGAGAAGGCCTACATCAGGTTTTTTAGATTGTATGAGCCTGAGGGTGGGGAACGGATAGTTCCAATAAATTCGGCACTTCTCGTTCTCCAAAACGAATTCAATATCTCTTGAAGTATAGGGCAACACCGGTGTCTCGTCAATACCGTAAGAGTGCCGTAGATGATAGTATAGCACTCTTAGGGCCGCGTTATGTCGATGGATATAGTCCGAGACCGCATATGCTGGACATGCTGATAGCAAGTGCATTAGGGTCTAGGACGCCTCGCGGCAGGCCCTGCACCTTGTGTCAGAAACCTCTATACCCATCACGCGGCTGCGTGATTATTATTATTATGAATGTCCGTCGTGACATTAGCCAGGAAAGTAGTCGCCAAGACGCGCGTCAAGAGATAGTGTTCAAGTTCTGGTGTGTATGAAGTTTTCATTAGAATATTCATTTTTCTAAAATAATATTTTAACATTGTTTATCTCGGATGTTTGTTAGCTTATTTGTGTAGTTTACTGTCCGGTACGTAGATATTTGTATGAAATTTTATTCAGAATTATTAAATAAAGTTCTCTTCGTCAAACATAGATAATTGCCAGCTCGTGTGTAATTTTTTTGTAAACACTTACTAGCTTCATTTGCAGAAAGTAACTTACATGGGTTATCAGTTTATGAATACGTTATCTTCCTGTCCTTAACCCAAATGCAGTTAAAATAAGAATATTCTCAGAACTATAAAATGATAATGATTTTCATTTACGGTTTGGCATCAAATTGTTAATATGTACATCATAAATTTGAATAGGGGCTCCGGGAAATTATTCTTCTGACAGGAAGCCGAACTAAATGGAAAACATCTAAGGAACTATCTCTCTCATAAAAAAAAATATCTCTTCGATAGAAACGATAGGTCTAAAATTATTAGGGTGACAAGTGTTTAATTGGAAATTCATCTCATACCAAGCTCAAGCAAATTCAATATTTACTATTAGTCGTAAATTCAAGGAAGCACTACTGGCGTTCTAAAAGAAGGAAAAGTGTTGTAAGTGAAGAATAAATACTATAACAGAAAAGAAAGGAGCATATGTAACTAACATATCTTCTTTACTGTCCCAATTAACTCGAGTTATTTCTATAACAAAAATAATAACCAACCAAACATCTGGTAAACCCTCTAAAACATTAAGTTATATATTTACTTATTTCATGACAATACTAGTTTCAGCTTTGGGCTAGGTTTTCTACTGAACACGTCCATAAATGTATGAAAATGGGAGAATACCTCTGATCTGAAGTGCTCTGAAAGGTTCTAAGAAAATTGAATCTACTATTTGTACATTATTCATCTGTCTTTTGTCATTATCAGATTATTTGAGAAATATGTTAATGTTTGCACCCCAATATTCAATTTTTTTTTACTTTACTTCGCCCAGAAATTTTAGTATTTCTTAGGTAAATAAAAAAATTGTACGTTGCTTGGTTCTTCTCTGAAATAATCAAATTGAAGGTGTTGTTTCATACATACAATTGAATCCCAAGAATGTTGAAATTCCAGTGCTATTATAACTTTTTGCAGATTTGGAGAACAATTTTGAGTGAAATTATTTCATTTGCATTGATCCATAGTTTGACAAACAAGAAAGCTGACCTATTTCTGTGACAATGGCTGTTCTTATACGATTTTTTTTCGAATGAAATGGTTGTTTCAAACTTGAGTATAATCAAAAACTCCCCGTTTAATTGCCATTCAATATAGTTGGGAAGTTGGGTGTAATCTCATATATCCCTTCTTGAGGTCACCTAATTTCCATTTTTTTAAGTTCAAGCTGTGGTAACATTTGTGACTTGATTTTTACATTTGCTCAAAGATTTTAATTGATATTTTTTTAAATATTCTCCTTTGTGTTTTCCAGTTTTGACGTAATAGTGGAGAGGTAAAAAGCTAAGAAAGTAATTTTTTTAACGTCAAAAAATGTAACTTCAATAATGTGGAAGATTCCCACATTTTTTTGTATCAAGATGGAGTAGTAGAAAGAGAAAAACTTTCTTTCCCAAAAATTAATCACTCCTAAGAATATAACCCCTTCAATTCAAAACTAAATTCAAGTTCCTGAAAGGTTATATATTTTTTAGCCAAATTGCTTAATTTTTGAATTTTAGAATATATGAAAATTTTATTAGAACTATGAAATACAAATCAATTCATTGAATTTATTTTATTAAAAAAATCCACCTCAAAGGTGCCACCTCGTTCCCTCCTGTTCTTCAAAGAGGACATACGCCTCTCCACCCACAGGTGATTTTCGTGAATTTTGGAACACGTGTGTATTGTGCCACGTGCTGTAGTATGCTGTGTATTGTCCCACTGTGATTCGAAAATGCATATAGATTATAACGGCAAGGAACCACATTGTCTGCTGCATAATTGCTCATATCTAATCCTTTTTGCATTTTCTTCTTTCCTTGCACCTCGAACACGATAGTTTTTCATCTCCTTCAAGAGTTTCCTTTCTTGTGAAGGAATCCAAGCATTGTGACGAACTCAATTGGCCAGTTCTTTGTGGTATGGGGAGTGTCAAATCCCAGAAAGGATGGAAGGTTACTGATGAGTGTCCACAGTGTGTGCACTTTATCGTGTATTTAAATTGACCAACGAAGTTATCTACAATCTTAGGTTATATGTAGTCGAATAAATCAGCCATGAATCTTGAACTTTTCCGCTTTCGCTCAACTTTTCGTCAATCTCCGTTAAGATCGGTTTAGGTTTCTCAGTAATTCTATTAAGGCCCTCATGTAAACCTTCTAAAATATATTAAAAAATTTCTTGATGGACAGAACCAATGAATCGAAGGGCAAATTATTTTAAAGTAGGTAGTGTTTATTACTCTATCAGATGAATCTTCTGACCACAATTTCTTGATAACTTCTGTGAACGCTTTGATTGACGCGCCTTTCATACTAGAAATACTAGTATCTTCCTTATATGTATCCTTTTTTAAATATTCCAGAAACCACCTCGTGTTTGATAAACATTGGATTACACTTCATGAAACAGGTGTTGCCAATATTTTTCAACCCATTAAGCCCAAGGGTTTTACCTGAAGAATGTATCACTCTTCTAATGTTGTAACTGTTCATGCTATGTTCATGCTGCCTTCTTCTAAGTAACCACAAATGCAATGATTCTCGCCATCATTAGACGGGCGAGATGAGGAATTCGAATCTCAACTGCTTGATATGTGGCAGTCCATTTGAGTTTGGGAGAAGATGATAATTTCAGAGTTTGTTCATATTTTTCTGTATCTTCTGGTGGAAACTCATGAGGAATATCACAATATATGATTTGGAAACAGAGGGGTGAAGAAGAATTTTATCCAGAGAATGTGACGATGGAATAGTGCCAAAAACAGAAGCTGAAATTACCACGCTGTATATTTGAACTAATTTTTTGGATAAGAAAAGTGGTGCATCTTTTTTTCTTTACTTTCTTCAGTCACCCTACCAATTTCATTAACGAAATTGAGAGATAAGGGACCAAATACTCCGAAAATTTCTACAGCCACAGGATAAAATATAAAGCAATTCCCAATATTTCCATACTGTTTTGCTTTCACTATTTATGGCAGCGGTACCTGCATTTTTGGACGTTCCAACTGAATGAGATGGAGCCAGTGTGTCCGCGCATGTGAAATCCCAAATGTCAGCTTTGCCACATTTCCAGGGATCAGGAAACATTCCATCAGGACGTTTGTCATCATAGTGGCTAGTACCTAGTGGTACTAGATTCTCCAATATTAACGGCTTTGAAACGAGCTTTTTCAGTGGAAGATGACGAGGATGAAGTGATGGAGTCAGAAGCATTATCTAGTAAAGGTTCGTCCCATGCTTTCTGAAGTGATTTGAGATCCGTAGGCAAATTACTTTTGGTTTGAGAACACCAAATAGATTTGCCTTCTATGGCTAAATCATCTATTATATAATTTTTATCAATTGCAAAACATTGTTGGTGGAAGACAAATGCCAGTGGTGATGCTGAGCACAGACCCAACCCTTCGCGATTCACAGACAATGTTGCTTGAGACCAAGAATTATCAGTAAAACAACTGTTGGTAACATTTTCAATTATGTTACATAGGTGACTATCAAAATTTTTAAGGAATACTTGACTTTTCCAGCAAGGAGAACATCTTAAAGTATACAGCAGTTTAGGAATGGCCAAACAATTTTTTAATACGAAAAAGGAAGTGATTGGAATCTATTTTGTTCTGAAAACTTTCACAACGAGAGAGTTGCCAAAGTGAGAGGGGCGCCAAGTAGTTCCCATTTCGATTTTTCTATACGTTTTATACCAGAAACAGCTTCCATACTATGCGCAAGAGATTCCGATACAAAAGTTGAATTGAAAATTAATTCACATTCATCGAAGTTCAGTTCGAGACCAATTTGTTTTGGGCTGTTAATAATCATTCCCAAATCCTTCAGTATAATGTCAATATCATCTCCAATTTATCCGTCATCCAGATGCCAACAATTGAATTCTGAATTTTTATGTTTTCTGGTTAACTATTGAATGGCCGGAAAGGATCGCCTTGTTGGACACCTCTCTGAGATTCAATCAAATGTTCACCAACATTCTAGATATTTACTCCGACTTGAAAAATTTAAGCCTTAATTTTATCATATATAGTCTTCAATGATCTATTTCCCTATTCAAATACTTAAGTCAACGGCATTTTGAGTAATTTCCTGGTCAAAATACTTTATATACTAATTTGTTAGCTTTGTCAAAAAGAGATCTCTTGAAAATTTTTTTTCTATATTGATAACTGATATTGGATGTACCTTTGAAAATAATAATACAGTTTCTATCATTCACTTGTTTTTCATTTTGAATTTTTCAGCTGTTTATCAAATGGTCAACATAAGTTATTCAAAAGGAGTTCACATTGGTGACAATATTGTCCACAATCACAATGGGTTGGAAACATTTAAAAAGACTAATATCGTTGAGACTGCTGCTATAAAATCTTTGAAACTTAGAAGTGATAGATTAACCAGAGAAGACTTATTGTTTGTTTCTACACATATGGATTCCTCGTGGAAAGATGTGGCCAGAGCCATGAAGTTCTCTGAAGGAGAAATTTCGCAATTTGTCTGCGATCACCAACATTCTGGAATTAAAGAGGTGAGATCTTTCACTATAATACACTATCTCTAAAGCCAGAAATATGGAAATAGGCAAGTTGTTTACTAGTATTTATTCCATGTTTTGTAATGGATTTAGACATTTCTTTAAATACTTTTTTCTATTTCGGAAGTATTTCTACTGATAACAAACTGTATCAGTTGATATCCTGTATAACTAATATAATATTCACCAACAAAGAATCGACAGAGACAGTTTTAAAAGTAAGGTAAAAGCATGATGATCAACCTATAAGAAAACCCCAATTATAGTGTTCATGGAAAACAAAATCTTTTTTTTTTTGAACAAATGTTTCTTTAAGATATGTAATCATTTAAAAAACTTTCTACAGAAAGTTTGAGTAACAAAATACTTTATAGAAATTTAACATTTTCATATTTTTCTCCAGATAACTTATACTTGACATCACCAGAATTGAAATTACCCAATAGTTGACACTACAAATCGTGAAAGTCAACCTCTTTTTTGATATTATACTTTTTCAACACCTTTTGAATAATGCATCCATACTTGTGGTATTTATTGTTTCCGAGATTTTTAATTGATGATAATCACCGACTTCTAATTAACTTGTCATTTGAAATATCTCCTGACTATATCATCCATTTCTATTCAGTGTCTATAGTAATAGCTACTATATTTAAAAACGTCCATCAACATAGTATCGTCTATATCATCCTTCAGTTCAGTGTTGGACATTAGTGCTTTTAATTCAAATTCTCTTCAGTGTATTATGCCCATATATACATTGTACATTGCTTCTTTTAGGGGATGTTCATAAATTGCATTCCAGGAATTTCAGGATTTCTAGACCATTCCATGTTACATTTTTAGTGACTCCTCCCCTATAATTGTGATGTGATGCCATTGATTCTTTATATTTCAACAATTACATAATTGTAATTGTTAATTTATTAACTGTAACTAAAACTTGGATAGGGCAACACATGTCTATTCCATTTTTTCTTTGTATATACCAAAAAAGTTCCCTTGGCATCACTGTTGTGTGATGTGACTAAGAAAAGAGTTTAAAATGAATTAATTGGGTTACGGTATTATAATCCGAATCAGTAAACTTATACATTGTGTTACGGTCAACATTTCAAGTGTTTTTGAGCACTCAATTCCAAATTTTCACACAAAATTTGATTCAAATTCGTTAATCCTTTTTTTTGATGGCAGAACACTTCTTACTTTTATGCCTCTCATCAACAAACTACACTCTACTACATTCTAACCGGTGAGACTGTGAACATATGTTCGAGACGAGTGTATCAACATAAAGAAACCGCGAATCGAATGTATGTAGCCCGCGAAAATTTAACATTCACTTTATTTTTTGAACAGCCCACGTATATTATATATAATCAACATTTTAACATATTTCACTTATTTTTTTTTTATATTTTTCATTAACATCAGAATAAATGATACTTGTATACAACTTGAACAACGGCCAATTTCTTTTGAAAATGTATTTTGTTATTATGTTGTGAATCTAAAACAAGCATTACATCACATTATTATGCGAGATACTGTAATAATCAGCACACTAATATTTTCTCAAAAACTGTCGGAAAACCTAAATTCATAAAACATATTTGATTTTACTCACCATAGTTTTTTCTCTCTGTTGGTAAACAAACTCAATAAACAGTACTGATACTTATTTGAATAGGTCATAATTATTTAATTTACGATACTAATATGTAATGTGAAGTCCCTGCTTTATATAGTGGGTTTTAATTAAAAATGAAGAGATTCCAAGGCAAGTTACTTCACGAAGTTTCGATTTGTTAATATCCACAATCGTCTTAGGGTGATTGCTGGACTAATTCCTCTGAGAGATGACTATTTATGGGTCATTCGAGTACTTTCACTTATCTCCTATTTCCACTTCACCGGTTTAGCAGGAGGTGATCGTTTGGCGTTTATTTCATTTCAGGTTTTTTTTTGCTTAATACAATTGTTACTGTCAGCTATTATTTTTATTTTTCATTTCTATTGGTTCTTTCAGGGATTTCAAATCATTTTATATAATATCAGACAATGGAAGTCCGAAGTAATGAAATTCATCATGAAACATTGTCAATCACCTTCAACCATAACATTTTTCATTTAAAATACTAAGTACATAAGTAACACATCGTCAGCAGCCATGGAGATCCTTCTAGGTCTACCTCCTCTCCACATTTTTCTGGAGAGAGAGGCTAGATGGACTGCATACAGACTTGTGCACATTACCAATTGCACAAATCAATGTAATGCAGAGTGCAACAGACTGTTGGTTGACACTGGAAGTCACAGCATTCTGGAAATGACCTCAGACTTCATGCCTCCAACTGTCACTACGAACTGCTTTATAAAGTACTGTTCCCGAGTAGAGACGACTGGATCCTCCGGGAGAAGGAAATATTAAGAGCAGATAGTTGTTGGTTCACAGATGGATCAAAAACACCTTCCGGTTCTGGTGCAGGTGTTTTCAGTCGCAGACCCAGGACAGAGATATCTACCTGCCTAGGAACTTATGCGACTGTATTTCAAGCGGAAATTTACGCTATTTAATTTTGTGTGGAAAAATTGGATAAATTCGACCTCATATACAAGTCAAAATAAAAATATTCTCGGACAGTCAAGCGTTGGAAGCTCTTGGCTCCTACTGAGCATTATTTAAATTGGTAGCAAATTGCCAAAAACGACTCTCCTCAGTAGGAAGACTTAACAGATTGTCTCTGGTCTGGCTTCCTAGTCATACTGGCCTGGAAGGCAATGAGGCTGCTGACTCACTTGCAAAGGAGGGTGCTGCAAGCAGCTTCATCGAACCAGAACCTGTCATTGGCATCGCTTTACGCTTTGCCAAACAAACATTGAACACCTGGATGGCAAGAAGATTTATGGACTTCTGGCAAAATCTTCCAGGATTGGCTCACTTCAAGGCGTTTATTCACCCTTTGAACAGTTGCTGGACAACAATAGGGATGAACTACGATGTTTAACAGGCCTTCTTACAGGTCACTGTCATTTGAATCATCATATGCAGAGACTCGGAGTGTCGGAAGACAGTGTGTGTCGCCTCTGTTTGGAAAATGATGAAACAGCAGGGCATATACTTTGTGCCTGCCCCGAACCGAATCAGGTTTTCAGAGTTCGGCAGAGCCGTACTCTTACCATCTGACCTGAAAGACCATTCGCCATACAAACTAATCAGCTTCTTTAAGAAGCTGGGTTTATTTGGTCTAGTGTGAATAGGTGTGAACCACAATAAACCCTTGCGGGTTGCGGTGTAGGGTCGAATAGACCCACTGACTTTAGACCTAACCTGCTGTGTTTAGTTGAGAATCATTATTTACATCACCTAATGAGTTAGTTTTTATATCATTTGATGACAGTTTTTTGGCAGTGTACAATTCTGTAACCTTGGTGAAGCGTAGTAGAATTTTCTCAACTCTGGTTTCCCATTTCACTGGTTTGTATATATAAATCCTTTATTTAGTCAAAGCCTAATAATACAGTTCAGTGAGTAACAATTTTAAAAGAAATCAATAATATCTAAAAATAAAATTAATTTGTTGCACTATATAAAAAATTGTTAACAACTAATTTACATCTCACGAATACATAAAAATAAAATGGAACTCAAAAGAAAGGTAGTATCATCAGCAAAAACATGAACTTGAAATAGATTTCAAGAGTTGTTTTATCTTCAAATCAAATCAGAAAACTGATCATGTTCTAAACTTTGAGGGTCAATAATTGATGTTATTTCAGATAGTATTTCTTAACGTGATTGTTAGATTTGGAACTTTGTACAAATTACAAAACACTCGAATAGCATCCCCAATATTTATAGCTTGTCATAGTAATTGTTTCGTTGTTTTACAGCACTAACTAGATTTCATTTGATCTTACCAATAAAATTCACAATAACTTCACAGAGTTGGTCATGATCATAAAAATTTTTTGTATGGTAGTAAACTACACTCTAGTATTATCATAGCGAGATTTTCTAACAATGCCTTCTAGATTGATGTGGTAGATTTTACTAGCTACTTATATTTGATAATGTTAGGGTTCTATTTTATATATGAATGAATACTGAGTAGGATTATACTGAACTTTATGACATGGATTGTTTGGACGATATTAGTGCTCAAAATCTGATAGCATATGATAATATGATCATATAATTTTCAAGAACCTTTTTGACTAACTCATCATTAGTACAAAAAATATTGATCGAACTGAATATATTGCATCAATTTTGGATGTTGAAAGTTTGACTATATTTTTACTGTTTTCAAAAGATACAATTGAGTTTTTCAACTTTTTCTATTTTGGTTTTATCAGATTATTCTTCTTAGAATTTTTCATACTATACTGCAGAGGTCATTAGGTACTTGAAAAGGTACACAAAGATCAACGGCTCAACTGACACTTCCCAGGATACCAAGACTCAGTTTGCTAATCACTAGTGACCAAAAGAGAACAATTCGGCAAAAATCAAGATTTGTAGTTTTTATAGTTAATTTCCCCTCAAACAAATAATTTTCATAATTCTTATTAATGAATGATATGATTGAGATTTTATTAGACTAGTTGCTTCAAATATCAACCGTCTGAGCTTTTCACATGAGTTTTAATCTGTTCAAACTTTATTCAATACCTGCTGTCAATCAATTTGATTCATTTGGTGGACCATACACATACATTGGAAAACATATCTTCGAATTCATTTGATAGTGGATATGTTTTGGAGCTATTCTGTAGGAAGAACTATTTGTACCAATGCAAGGCTCCTTATATGCATTTATTACTTATCGAAACTTAATGTATCAATTCAGGTGCCATTTCAGAAAGTCTAGTTCGTCTAATTTTGAATTAAATGTATTTTGAAGTTACTCAGATGAAAATTGTTCATATTTGAATTAAACATGTAGTTTGAGAGTATATTTATCAGTCGAAGTCTTTCTTTATGGGTAGTTTATGCAAAATTATGAAATTAGATGAAGATTTGAAATATTTCAGTACAAAATTTATGTTGTAAATACTTCATTCAAATAAACAGTTTGAAAAATGCAATATATGCGTGCTATATAATAGACTTTTCAGGCTATGTAGTAAACTACCTACTTGTAGTAAACTGTGTAGTTTACTTTAGTATAAGTCCTGGATGAAAAAGTTATTCTGTATGAAAAAAACATTTTTGTCAATTATTTATACGAAAATATTTCAATAGAGTAATTATTATTTCCATGTGCATGGAAAACGGTACAAAATTCATTTACACATTTCTTCAGCTAACAAAAATTGAAAGGTATTGTCTTCCATTTACCTTGAGTGATATTCAGTGTTACAATACAAATATTTTTTGGAAATATCTCTACTAACAAATGTTTTACAATTTTTTTATATTAAAGATATATCTATATACATGTGACTAGAAATAAGCTGACGTCTTTCAGTTTACTTTGCGTTGAATCTCAACATGCGTGTTGAAGACATTCCATTATGAGTAATCTAGTGCTTTGAGAGACATATCACTTGCTTTCACAAAAAGTTCAAAACTTATTGAAAATCAGTGTTATGTATTTGTTTTTAGGATATATATGTATATTGTTTTATCAGAGCTTATACATTATTATTCATGTGTTACATTAATAAATCAATTAACAATACTCTGGGCAATTTTTTATCAAGTCCTGACCGCAGAAACCTCTCCAAATATCAAGATCTACAGATGATGTGGTGCTGCAGGTTTTTCCGGGTTTTTCTGCAGCTAAAAAAGCAAATGTGCCACTGGAATCATTGAAGTTGCCCCGGAGCGCCAATTAAGTCAATATGAGGGTGCCAATTAAAATCAATATGACACATTCAAAAAATAAACTTACTCTATTTTACAAATCACCAAGCTTTCGTCTCTGAATAGAGACTTCGTCATGACGATATCTGAAAATTATGACACTATTACCGTCAATGCTCCAATTTAAAAAAAAAATCACCTAATAATCAATTTTCAATTGTAAAATTCAGATTACTTCGTCGTAGAGTAAGTTTATTTTTTGAACGTGTCTGACTGAAAGTCTTGTTAATCCTTACTTTCCATATACTACCTTCAGTGTTTCAAATTCGGTCCTCACCATTAGGATCTCGGAAACTATGAGATACGAAGATATTTTTTGAATGATTCTAAAATAAATTGCACTTCCACATTGCCACTTTTTCCCTTCTACATAATGGTGTTTACAGATTTGCTATCCGACGTTTCGTTTTCCGGCTACCATCATCAATTTGGTGATAAGCTGCAAGCTTACATTGAAAAAGTTACCAATTCCTTTGAGATATAATATAAAAATTCACACATTGTTCTTCTTTTATAGGTCTTTAAATAAAGTCCGGGATGGCATATGTCTACCTTTCAAGGATGGTTACTGTATATGTTTTAATTTTGAACATACTGGTCACATCTTTATACAGAAAAATTGGGAGAAACTTCCAAAGGAAGTGAGAAAGCAATTGAGTTCGAAATAAACCCTTCACGAATTTGTGTAGATCTTGCATTGAAGTTACTTTCAGATAAAAACTGTAAGAAAAAGTCCTCTCGAAATAACTACTTTCACATGAACATTAAAGTACACGAAAGGAAAAATAGTTTCGAAAGAACGAATTTCATTTTAACATTGAAATCATGTTTTCCTGTTCAGTTTGTATTCCAAACATTCGTTATTGAAGTGAATTAGATATACCTAGATGTAGGAACGCTACACAATATAATAAATGGAAGGGTTATGACATAAACTTTCACTCATATGGAAATTCTCAATAGCGGACTTCCACGTATTGGAATAAGGTCTTATTGCCTCATCAGTACCGTTCTGGATAATATTACAAAATGAAGAGCACTCATTTCATTCATTACATTACTTTATGATACGGATGCAACAAATCTACTCATACCTATCACGATGACAGTACGTAAAGACATTTGAATGCTTATTTGATTGAATCCCACCCATAGGAATCTTATTTGAATTAAAAGGTTTAGCTCATACCTACTATACCTATTTTAATGTTGTACATAATAGTCACATCCTTATACAAAAAATTGTGAGATTGTGGGCGCCATCGGAAAATGAATTATACTACAGCATTGTTTACCTCTGTATAGTTTTCTGGAAAAGAAGCTTTTCGGCTTTCACTTCTCCATATACAAAAAATTGTGGGAAACTTGTAAAGGAAGGAAGGAAAAAGTACTGTTCAGAATGAACTCTTCATAAAGAAGTATAGATCATGCACAGAAGTAACAAACTGTAAGAAAAAACACGAACTTCGAAGTACACAAAAGAAAAAATACTTTCTAAACAACTACCTTCATATGAACTTTGAGTTATATGAAAATCATTTTTTCCTATTCAGTTTGTACTCCAAATGATAATGGAATTGAGTCAGATATCAGTCATAAGAACGCTACACAATATAATATATAAAAGAGTTACGATATAAAATTTCATTTACATGAAACTAATTTTGTGTAAAAATATAAGCGTAATGAAGAAAAGTGGCAGTTGCTTCAGTTTTGTTTTATGTAATGAATCATCTGTATCTGTAGAGTAGGGAGGGTGAGTGTAGACCCACAGCACTTAGGCCACATGTGATCCATTGTACCATCTTCCCGAGGAGTTGTCCTCCTAGGTCATAGTCCATCCTGTCCTTTCCAGCAAGGTGGACAGGTTACTAGGAGACATCTCCTTGGCAGGTGTAGACCAAGAGTCGCCGAACACACTCTCTTTGGCAACCTTGAGATGTCTCACGGTGGACTCCGCGAAGGTGGTGGCCTCCGTGAAAGTTTTGGAAGGTGCAGCGATATTACTGTCGTTGCGCGGCTTCTTCAACCTTCTTGGGGTTCCCTCCGTGGAGGTGCACAAGTGAGGGAGCTTTCCTGCAGGGGCAGCCGGTTCCTTTCCTTTATTCAAAGCAGAGCTCTTGCTGTTGGAGGTGATCTGCTATGTCTAGCCTCAGTCCAAGCAGTAGATTAGGGTGGACATTTCTGTTCATCCCCAGCCACCGCCTTAGATTGAGGTGAGCACTTCTGTCCAGCCTCGGGATTGGTTTTTGTTGTTTCTGTTTTGTGTTTGTTTCATTCATGTGTGTTCCCACGAGTAGCAAGGGAAGAGTTGGTCACCTCTGGCAGAGCCCCGCATTACCAGAGGTAAAGCTAATTACAATGAGGCTTTGCCCGGTTCCTCAAGGGGATCGTTCGTGACCGCATATCACCCTGCGGCCATTCAGCTGTCGGCACGATTCCTTACAGCTTAGCTTGGGTAGGCTGGTCCACGGTGGCATGTTTTGCAAAGGCTTTTTGGGGAGTTTTAGTTCCCCTCACCCTACTTATTTCTGGCACTGACTAGGAGTGCGGCAACCCCTCCGTAAGGCCAAATTGGCTTCCCGGACAGGGCCTTCAGTCCCCTGGCCGTTCTCCTACCCGCCACCTGGGGACGCGCCCGATAGGTAACCCAACCCACGGGTAATGAATCATAATTTCAATGTTTTGAATGAATCAATAAATTATAGTTACATATTATTTATTCATATAAATGTTATACCATCAGATGCTCTCTTAGAAGTAAGTAATCAATAAAGTTAAATAAAATACTGCAATAAGCAGAACAGGTGTAACTAAACTTTGATGTCCTGTAGCAGGGGCTGGAGTACTAACCGAAGCGTTGTTGCAGAACTTTTCATCCAAAAGTTGCATCATATCATTGATTGCTTCAGTTGGGCCAGAATTATTGGAAAATTTCAGTTTCTCGCTGATACAAACACGAATTTCTCCGAAATCTCTGAAAAAAATGACAAAACTGTTTCAATAGGAACTATTGACGTTACGCGCTGGTTTCAATATATAGCTTGACATTCTTATTTGCCAAAAAAAAAAAAACTGCTCCCACATACCAGAACTGCATCACTCTTCTCGATGCACGAATCACCAACCGAGTTGGCGCTATCGGAAAATGAATCATACGAGGCTGGTCAGAAAAGTTTCCGCCAAAGTTCACCAAATGGTGTTAGACGACCGCTGAATTAAAGTGAGAAGGATAGCAGAGGTTATGAACATGTCAAAAGTATGTGTTTGTCACATATTAAATAAACATTTGGGCATGAGAAAGCTGTTCGGATCAACGTTTCCAACGTTCTATTGGCGCAGTTTGGGCGCAATAAAATCAAGTTTTGGCGCCGATTAATTACTATAGATGAAATTTTGATACACCATTATACGCCCGAAACAAAATACAGTCCAAACAGTGAACTGCAAAGGGGGAAACCGGTTCCAAAAAAAGCAAAAACTGTTATTTCGGCTCGGAAAGTGATGACTGTTTTTTGGGATAGTTATTTCAATCGACTGTCTTCAAAAAGGAAAAACCTTCACAGGAGCCTACTACGCATCATTACTTGACAAGTTGAAGGCAGAATTTGCGAAAAAACGGCCACATTTGCAAAAAAAATACTGTTTCACCAAGACCACGAACCTTCTCAACCCTCAGCGGTTGCAATGGCGAAAACTCACGAATTACGGTTTGAACTGCTTGACCAACCGCCTTACTCACTATATCTAGTCCCAAGCGACTTCTTTTTGATGCCTCATCTGAAAATTACGCTCTGGGGGATACATATCTTCGTCAGATGAAGTGACAATCACCTATGTGAATAATTATTTTGGAAAGAAAAACACCGAATACTATTTGGACGGGTTACAGAGATGTGAGCATCGCTGATAAGTATGTAGATTATAGAGTTAAAAGGAGACTATGTCTTGTATCTTTGTTAGGTCGGAAATTTTCAGGCTACCCTCGTACTTCAGCTACTACCGATGAAGCTACGGTATTAGCAAAACGCGTCTAGAATAAAAAAAATGCGAAAATTGTTTAATAATAATCATGAAGTGTTATTAATTTTCATCAAGTAACGTGTCAGTCCATTCATACTTCAGTAAGTATAGTTTATCCCTGTATTATAGTATATATAAAGTAAAATTCATCATCCGATGTTTTCAACTTGGTTGGTGAAAAGAGTATCGAGAAGAGTGTTGCAATTCCGGTGTGTAGAAGCAGTGTTTGTTTTGGATCTATTCTACGCCAGATGGTCCAGTTCTACTTTTCAGATGTCTAATTTGGTTTTATTCTCCGTACGCTAGAGAGCTTCAGCATCTAATGTTATGTTTGGAGAAAAATAATTTCTCTATCTGAATGTTAATATGTTTTATCAGATGGATTATCTTTGTTCATACAACAAATATATCATAACATAATTCACTAATGTTATATTCTTGCTAATTTCACGAGACAGCGTAAATATTTCCTAGAAACTAATATTTCTCTAAGTGCTTGAAAAAGTATCAATCAGACCACAACTAAAATTCAGGTTCTGCCTAATTCAATATATTTTTTTCTGATTGATTCGGCCGTTACTTGATAAAGCTCCATATTAATTTCATAAACCACACCTCACGATTTAATCTCCACAAACATTATTTGAAAAATACATCACATGTTTCGCTAACACAACGAATCACTGTTGACAAAACTACTGTGTTAGCGAAACATGTCGTGATATATTTTTCAATTGAAGTTTGTGGAGATCAAATTCTATAAATAAAATTAACTAGTGGAAATTAGGCAAAAGTGTTTTTATTCATTTCATTAAAGTGATCATGAATAACCATAAAGTAAACAAGTCATCAATCACACATATTTTAGCTATTTCTCAAAAGATTCAAATTCCTAAAAGTACTGCAAATCTCTGGTTTCTTGAAGAAACTTGGGTTTGACACTTACGAATTTAAAGATGAAATCATATCACAATCGACTTGTATGATTTTCAGTGAAAAGTGTACAGTTAGAACGCTTGATAAAAATATTGTTGCAAATCACGCCCTAAAAAATTATGGTAGCCATTAACCAATTGTGACGTATCTAAGAGCGCGCGAATGTACAATGTTCGTTGCCGCTTTACAAGCAGCAAGAATGCTACCGATTTCAATGAAACTTCGGCGAAATTTCTGCCGCATTCGATTACGATATATTAATATTAGCCACGGGCATATCGAGACAGTCAAGTGGAAATTACAGTGCGGTACGCAAAGCGATCTAGTAAGGCGATAGACATTCGAATAATAGTTGAAGTTTTAGTGATTGTTGTATTTAAAGTGAAATAAAGTTAAGTTTGATTATTGTTCAGTGTAGTCAATTATTGGTCAACCCACGGGGAAAAATGAAGCACTATTGTATAGTGAAATACGTGTTGATGTCTTATGAAATTTTCGGTGAAAACCTCACATAATTAATAACAAATAATTGAATTGGATATTTTATTGCTCACATCAAATACGCCTGATTTGGTACTCACCCAGATAAAGGTTACATTGCATGGTTAATATTATCTTATCTTTTAATTATTATCATTCACTTGGTGATCGAAACACGTGTCGAGGTGTTGAAAATAACGATTTGGTGTTGGGAAAAAACTCCAGTAATATTCATATCTTGTAAGATTAGGATATATCCTATAATAAGATTACTACTACTACAATAGCATTTTTCAAAAAAACATATTTTGGAAAAATTCTGGTTTCAAGTATGTAATTCTCAGATTTGAGTTTGCAGTAGGTCTCACTGGAATAAAAACGTTTTTTACTCATCAGCGTGATCCTTCAGCACTTGCAAATTTATATTAGTTAGAAAACAAGCATATAAAATAATTTTATTGAGGAAAAGTTTGAAGCGCAGCATATTTTGAGAATCTATACATAATCCATACAATATATACCTACATCCATCTAGACTTATCGTGATTTTCGAATTCTGTGAAAAATTCTATTCAAAATTGTCAAGAAAAAGAGTACACTTACTGGCAATTTCCTTGACGCAACATCTTTGGAATAGATTTTTGTTCATCAATGCATTTTTTGATGTTTTCCCATTCTTCTTGAACGCAGTCCAATCCACCTTCCTTATAGAATTCTAGAAAGTAATTGAAATTGATTTTGTCTTCTGTAGAAGTATCAGTACATCTTTGAGCTAAAGAGATACAGAAAATTTTTTTGCTGCTCTCAAAGGCGTCAGGAAACTATGAAACAATAAAAATGTTTCACGTAGGAAGTTTTTTAACTCCAGTTGAACAGTCGGTATTAGGCCCTTTGCTTATTACAACAGAAAAAGTGGAACTTTTCACATTTTCATAAAATATTTCGTCAACTGATAAAAAGTACTATTTTCGAAAATATTATGTAAAGACACTGGTAAAAAAGTTTGTCCAAAATTCCAGGATTCAAAGAAGCCAAAAAAAGTTCTTGAATTTTTTTTAGCATTTTGTCTTTTTACAGACTAAATGAAATTGAATAGAGAACTAATTTCAGGCGTAGAAAGAGACAACCTCTAGTGCTCACTTATACGGTAGTCAAAAATAGAAATACCGCTAGTTTCATTGAGACCTATGGTGCGTTCCATTCAGGGCCGTAGCGAAAAGAAATATCAGGGGGGAAGGGAATCCAAATTTTCCCAACCCCACCAGCAAAGCTTCCCAACTTTCCAAAAAATGAAAGCCGAGGGATTAGTTACTACCTACTATAATATATTAATTTTCTCACTTAGCTATCCAAAGATTGGCTGAATCCTTATGCCCGTTAGGTTATGAACAAACAAAAATAAGTTTTGATAATTATAAAAATAATAATGGGAATTATTCTACTTTGGACCAAGGTCGTTGATCTTCCACCATAATACACCATGTATAGGAATATTCGATATAAATGAAAAGAAACAACACTTAAATAATATTGTGCTTATTGTTTTCTGCTATTATTTTTTCTAACTTCACGGCTCGGAATTTCCTAACTTTTCCAAGTCGAAAAAACAGCGAAAAGTTGGAAATTTTGTAAAATTGTCACTTCAAAAATTTGTGGACTGTTCAGAACTGTTCTCTTACTTGGGAGAAATTAAAAGTTTTCAAACAACTCAGAATTTCAAAGTAAAGGATCTCCAAGTTATGCATGTTGGGAAATCCCAACCTTCTCCCGGTTCTTTTCCTTTTCCTATTACCTCTCCCTTTCTTTAAACTTAAAAAGTGGTAAAAAACATAGAAAGTTTCAAATCTCTTTTCTTGGTTACATCAACCACACGATTTATGAACACTTCGTCTTCGTAGCTAATAGTTCAAGGAGATTCTGAGTCATTCTATGCTGGTACTAATCACTTTTTGAGGAGCGGGGACGTAGTGATCTCCCGGTGAAAAATTTGAGTTTCAGCTCTCATAGGAGAGTAGTGTAAATTTTTTGCTTTTTTGGTTTGTAAGTAACCTCTACATATTTTAATAAACGAATTTTACACTCCAGATCTGCCTTGAACAAAATTTTTAAGCAGAATCAGACGAGAAAACGAACTCCCTTTGAAAAAGCCCTGCATGGAAAGGTTGCTGCGGTCATTGAGGTGCGAATTTTGCACCATGAACATTCAACAACCTAATTATCTACCAATCAACTTCGTTATACCATTCCATTATGACTGCCTTATAGGATATTCCAGAAGATGGTCCACAGGTACGACTCCAGAGCTGTACATTCCGGTGTGAATGGCTACAGATTACAATAAGAGCTGAGCGTCTTCTGGCTAGTTGGCAGTTAGCACTCTGCAACCATGGAAGGGCATCTTCCTGAAATTTGTGTTGTTTACCTACCTGAAGATAGTCGCAGACTGACCACCTATCAGGTTGCCACTAGACTGAGGAAAGTGTAAGATGGTTCCTCATCCTTGGACTGGATTATTCTTCACAAGAAAATTCAGTTCCTTCAAGCAGAACACAAATCTGTGTCTACCCTATCGTGGATCATATCTTCAGCGTTTGGCAGAGGACCACTCTTGCTGCTGACTTGGAAGATCACTCACCAGATGACGAAATCAGCTTCATCAAGACGCTGAAATCATTTGGGCGAGTTTGAAAATGTGTGAGCTACAATAAACTATCGCGGGTTGCAGTGGAAGTTCGAATAGACCCACTCACTAGTAAGTTGGTAGCCGGTCGGTTCGACGTGGGTGCTTTGTCCACTCATTCAATCGACCGTTGTGTAAGTCGGTGGTTCAAGCCACAGGCTTGCTATCGTCCAACTCATGTTAGGAATCACACGTTAAAAGGTAAGACCTCGTTAGTACTTATCTCGCACAAGTTTCGACTTTTGGGGGTTATCGTTTGTAGGGGTGCGACAGCTGGTTAACGGAAAAACATATTTTGAACATATGTTTTTAAAACTATGGACATATGGAAAATAGGTATATCAGATAGTAGTTTTAAAATCCAGTTCAATAGATAACTATGTACTCACGTCTGAATTTTATCGCTCCATGAGAACACAAAGTGACCTGCATGTAGTCGAAGATGTCCAAAGCAACGTCTACCTGATATTTCTCATCTTCATCAAGACACTCTTTGAGGACTAATATAGTTTCGTTTAAACAATTCATAAACGGGGTCCAAATCTTGCAGTATCTTTGAAATACGTTATCCAGCGACTTCGTTTCTATGGCTTTCCTCAAATCACTCTCTACGTTGCTCAAATTCATGAACTTAGACGAACACATTGAAGCCTTCTCAAGTTTTTCCTGGAAAATATATAATAATTTTTTAGTCTTCGAGCTTCCTCCATTTCATATTGCGTACGGAATTATTTGTAAGAAGACTAGTGGAATCTTCAAATGAAATCGCTAGACAATTATGAGACGTAAGAAAGAGTTCATCTTAAGGAGAGCGAAATCCGGGCTGGAACCTGAAGTACTAGGTACTTCAGATTCCATTCGACCACGGCCTACTAGCCCGGATTTTGTTCTCTTTAATTGTGACCCCGGCCGTGAAAGCTTATGTCCTTATACAGTTCATCTTCAACTATTATCTTAACAGGTATATTGGAGTACCAAGAAATCACTTTCCAACACTCGTACTAGCACTGAGGGTCGTTTTAATAATCAAAAGTAACCCTTCTGTTGTCTTTGCCGATACTCAATGAAGGTGGTATATTTTTCTTTGAATTACTAGAAACACTCCCAAAAGAAAATAAGACATAATACAATATTTCAGTTACAATGTGAAAATTGAAATAAGTTACAATTATTTTGCTGATATGAAAATAACACGTCTAAACCAAAATAAATCTGTTAACCTGAATTATATGTCAGTTGACTGGCATATACTGGTCAAATATTAATTTCAGATGAGATTTGTATAGAGAAATATTTTCATAAAAAAGTGGGACATCGTACTCATGAATATGTTTCATGCCCAGTAATTTTTTCCATCGACATCTTCTAGAGAATAGAAGGAGAACGATCGATTATGCAAACTGCAGGTGAATATACTGTATACGTGTATACTTTGGGCTTAGGGGAACTTTGGTAGATATATACTACCATGATGAGGAAAACAGAAGGCTGTTTTAAGGGGAAGCCTTGTTCTTACTGTTTTAATAGACGAGCTAGTACATCTTCTAGACTATAATGGATTAAATTGCTGGTATATGTGGAAAAAAATAAATAAACATAGCGAGGGGACACATGTAGCAGATCCTGAATACTATTACAAGATGGATTGCAAAAGAAACGCGCAACATAAGCTCACCCAAATCGACCATAGTATATAGCATTCACCAAAAGGAGCAAGATGAGGTCGTAGGATATGTAAACTCCGAGATGAAGACCGGTAACCAATATTCAGACAGGATGAAAAAAGACGAAAGTACCATTGATGCTGGTCTACTGAAAGACATATAGGGCTAAAACCAAAGATAGTTAACCCATGATAACTTATGCTTCAGTGGTTTTCTGGCCATAGATGAAATACGCGATAAAATATTGGTCTGGAAAACGGATTAGATACAATGAGGATCTCTACACAGCGTTGGTGGTAAATACCTATATCTGAGAGAGAACCGTCGATAGTTACTTGCGAGTAACGGTCTTTGAGAAAGTTGGAGAGCCTTGGAAAAATAACGATCTGGTCAGCCAGTTTATTTAGTGAATCTTCATACCAGAAACGTTCAATGGCCTGAAAATCATCAAGATCAACAACCCGAGACCTTCCCCATGTTTTACATTATTTCCAAAGTCAGGTAATATATGAAAGAAGATCGCTAGAAACCATGTTGATGATCGCTTAAGATGTTAAATCATCCCAATTATTCAATAATGTTTTGATTATAACAACTTTCTCCATGCTTTTCGTAGTAGAATTTGTGCTACTGGGAGAATTTTGGATTTGATGAAATTTCGACTTCAGCCAGAAAGATCTAAAACTGTTTTGACTAGTAAACAGTCTGTTGCCAATTAGACGGTAGGTGCAGTTATCTACTTCTGTTCTTTCTTTATTTGCATTGCAATAAAAAATAAAATATTTTAATTCCGGTTGGAACATGGTATTTCGTATATGCCCTGTCCTCATTGGGTATTGTGTTCTTAGGTTGTCGTAGAAAAGTGAAAATTTGATTGTTGGCTGTGAATACTGTTCTTATATCATGCCTCTTCAGAATTCGGCTTACTTTGTCGAAAACTCCACGAATATATTGAAGAAAAGCTTTTGGGTGGTCCGTCTGTTCATCGAGCTGTTTGGGATGTGGGGTACGGTGATAGACTAGGTATGGGATAACTCAGAACGGAATTCAATTGGGCAGGATGACGATGGGACTCAGCATTGATGTAGCGGTTAACATGGGTTGGTTTTCGGTAAACAGTGTGTGAGAAGGAATGATTGGAATTTGTGATGAGAAAGTCTAGAAATGGATGTGAGTTGTTATATGGTTTAGGAATGTATGGATAATTTCAAAGACGTCATCTACGTATCGAAGCCAACACGTAGTTAGTATTTGAAACTAATTAAATATACAAACTGATGACAAAATACTAATGGAGTCATTGTTAAATATTTCCAATACAATACTTCATTTACTGAAAAAGTGGCACTCACCGACAGTGGAAAATACCAAAACTTGCTGAAAAACCTCCATGCTAACGGAATGTGGAAAGAAAACGGAATGACTGAAAACAAAAAGGCAATTTCATGAAACATTCCACTTAATTCAGCAATTAAACATACCTTTAAGCAAGTCAATAAGACACTAATGATACGTGAACTGATAGTGATATAGCAGTCATTATTTTTGCGTTGTGCTCGTAGCGATTGAAGAACGAGAAATGGAAATTTTAATAACATAAATGGAACATTGGGAGGATTTTGAAATAATTCATTCCACCCTTGCACTTTCCGAATTGGAATAATTGAATCCGCAAATAGACTAGGGTTAATATTATTTAATCACTTGTTAAACTGAAATCAAAAGTATTCTGCCAAGATAACAAATACGCAGAGGGCACTATCAACTTGAATATCTGAAATGTTTACGTTATTTGATTTTCCAACACAATTTCATTTTCATTTTCATCAGATCGAGATGATTGGTGCCACTCAAACTAGCATAGTATTCACTTATACTTTAGCAATAGTCAGTTATTTGAAGAGGAAACCATACTTTCTTTGTTCATTCATTCTCACTAAGTGCCCTAACTACTTCAGTAGTTGTTTTTCAGTCACGTCCCATTTCAAGTTCTTTCTTTATTGCGTTTCGTCGTTTCGTATTGTATTTCCTTTTGACACACATTTCACTATTCTCAATTACTTCATCATGAACATTTAGATATATTCCTGAATGACACAAAGTTATCCGTTCATGAAAATTGTAAATTTCTCGGCATTTTCATTGGTTCCCGCTTGGACTGAAAAAAACACTGTCAGTTCCTGTGTTCCAAGCTCTCATCGATCTACTTTATGTTTAGAAATCTCAAACACGTGTTGACTCTACAGCAACTAATAAATTTTTATCATGCACAAGTGGAAGGTTGGCTCACGTATGGAATGTGTTTGTGGGGAAACTCTTTTCACTCGCAGAAAGTCTCCATTTCCCCCCCCAAAAAAAATAATAAGATGTGTAGCTGATGTCAAAAGTGACTACCTATGTCGTAATCTCTTCAAAAATTACAACATTCTCACCTGTACAGGCCTGTATGTGTTTGAAATCTGTGTATTCGTTTTCAAAAATTAAGCATTTTTTTACGCAATGGAGATTTCCACTCTTATAACACCCCTCGTAACAATGATCTGGGACTGCCACTGTCCAGGGTCAATGTTACATACAAAGCTCCATCTGGAGAACTGTGTTTAGATATGTGGAATTTTAATTTTAATATGTGGATTTAATCTCCAGCGATTCAAATCCAATGTACATCGCTACTTTTGCACAGGAACCGCTCTGAGAGGGCCTTAAGGATTTTCCTTTAGTGCTTGTGCTTTGTCCTTGAAAAAAATCTTTAATAATTTTCCAGATACGCTGAAAGGTCTGTTTTCTGTATCCCATTAGAACTTTCTTTACTGTCTCTTTTAACTCCTTTGTTATATCAATTATGATATCGACGAGTGTTGGGCTCAAGACACCACCTTGACGTAGGCCATAACGGATTTTTTCAGATTGAAAGTTGTGTTCTATCACACAGTTTTTTTGTCCTTTTATGTAATATTATCTATCAGATTGGTTGTAACCCCTCTTCTTTTAAAACTTACCCATATCATATCTCTCGGAAATGTCAAATGCTTTCTCGGGGTTAGTGAGCAAATATATCAATGCCCTTTTATTATTATCTGTTTCAATGCCACCTAGACATTTGTTCCTTTAAAACCTGTGGTTTTGCTAATAATTATCTTGGCTTTTTTATTTGCAAAGGTTGATTTTAGAAGAGTTTAGATCAGTTGTGACTATCATAGACACACTTGTACGTCATTCTTATTTCAGTTTTCCGTGATTCTTTGTCATTCTTGGCATTGCAAACCGTATTATATGTATACTAGATAATTTCCTTTTGCCTAATTCAATTCAAAAACGTTTATTCATGTTTTGAATAATAATAACAATATATTTGTGTAGGTGTGTTTGTGTGACCCCTTTTTGCCTAATCACAAGTATTAACTTATAGATGAAAGTAATAAAAGAGAAAAATACCAACTTATCCCATTTCACTAAATGACCAATTCTTAGCGACGCTGTTGCCAATTTCATGTCCTAATTAGTACGGTCACAGATGAATATCACTGGAGTTTTTTCCCAACACCAAATCGTTATTTTTACACCTCGACACGTGTTTAGATCACCAAGTGATCATCTTCAAGAGGAAGATAAAACTTGAAGATGATCACTTGGTGATCGAAACACGTGTCGAGGTGTAAAAATAACGATTTGGTGTTGGGAAAAAACTCCAGTAATATTCATTACTACACCAAAGGTTCCAAACAGTATATCACAAGTACGGTCACAGATATTTAATCTGTGGTACGGCCATCATCAACGAGGACCAAGAATGTCATCTAAATGAAAAGAAAATCCCAAAATCATCAAATGAACAGAGGGGACTTTCAACTTGGAAATCTAAATTTGAAAAGGTTAGCCTAGGTTAATTATTTACCTCATAAATTTTTCATTCAACATTTCGAGAATGGTTGGTAAGTTAGTTAAAGTCAGACAGTGAAACATGTCATCTGGACATTTACCATTTTTGTAACACTCGTCAAA